ACTCCATTAGGCAACTTTTTTTTTTAAAATAAGAAGTTTAGTATTTTCTGTCAAATGGATGGAGAAAAAATGTTGAGTCCTTTAATTTCATTATGAATTATTTTAATGTCAGCAAAGAGTCGCATAGCTGGAGCACATCCAGAATGCTGCTGCCACAGTCCTGACCAACAATGGGGAATCTGGATCATCTGACATTCGAGTTGTTAAATTACTGCAGTGCCCCACTGTTTGGAAAAATTATATATTTTAAAGTGCATTATAGGATTAGACAGGAGTGAAAACATTGACAGAAATTTTTGCCTTAAGTGGTTAAAAATCTTTTCGTTTTCTTTGAGTAATTTTTATCTTTTTATTTGCTTAAAAGTAAAAATGATATTTTCCCCCATATGTTTCTTACTATTATGCATTTACAGTATTGTATCCCATATTTGTATTATGGTTAATCTTAAATATTTGTTGTTGTTTTTTACTGTTTCTATAGAGCTATATGTTTATCTTGTAAAGTTTTGTGTCTGAATGGTGGTATACAAATAAAGTTGCCTTGCAAATAGACTGTAGGTGTGGAACTGAAATATTTCCATTAATCACTCAGGCTATGTTGTCAATTTCTTTTACACTGAGATTAAGAGTGATGTAATGATTTAAGTCTACAAAGACTGTCTTTATTTCCCATTATTCTTCTGATTCACCTCTTCCTGATGATACTCAATTAAGGTAAGTTTTTTTGTTTTGTTTTTTAACAGAGCTGGTAATTAAACTCTAATGCTTTTCATAAGTAAGTAGGTCAGCCTTTACCATTGGAAATTGTTCACGTGTAAATACTGCCCTTGTTTGAAATTAATCAATTCAATAAAAACAATGAAACATGGTGGCAACACAGTGTAGTGTAAAAAACACTGAAATATACATCAAAAGTAATATTTGTACTCTTATCAAAATTTTGCCACTATTCAGTGACATTTTGAACAATCAATCAAATTCAATCAAGTTTTATTTGTATAGCACATTTCAGCAGCAAGGCATTTCAAAGTGCTTTACATAATAAAAAACAGCATGTGACATTGAATAAACAGAGAGATTTTGGGGAAAAAAATTAAAATTAAAAAAGATAAAAGCATTAAAACCAGCACCCCCTTTCAACCGGGGGGACGACACCCGCACCCCTGTCCTTATCTCGGACTCAAAACCGATCTGGGACTTTAGTCAAAACGCTGTTTGACAAGGACTCCAACCTCTAGGTTTTTATGAATCGCCGTAAACTGGGACTCTAAACCCCATAGGACTTTAA